GAGAGAGAGAGAGAGAGAGAGAGAGAGAGAGAGAGAGAGAAACCGGTGGATAGATAAAAAGAGAGAGAGAGAGAGAGAGAGAGAAACCGGTGGATAGATAGAAAGATAGAGAGAGAGAGAGAGAGAGAGTGAGAGAGAGTGAGAGACAGAGAGAGACAGAACATATTTGTACTTGTAAAACTCACATCCATGAGGGTTACGTCCACATCACGTAACTTCTGTGGTTCCACGTAACAGTTCATGCAGTTCAAGGTCAGTCTCGATGCCAAAGCTTGTTGTGACATACCATCCAACTGAAAAAGATGTGTCTTCAAATAAATAAATGCCGCAAGAAATGAAATGATTTTTTTTTTTTCAATCAACACTTCAAACATAGCACTCTGAGACCAATATGCATTGAGCTTGAGGAATGACTAAGTAAGTGAGTCATTAATCTTAAAAACAATGTGTAATCAAGATGGACCTTCATTCACAGTGAGTCAGAATAATTTGTTTTTCTAATGTTAAGAGAAGCCTATCAGTGCACTGCAGTGACGACCGGCAATGGCATGGTTGTGAACTGTTCTGTATTGGTGTAATATTGTGTATTTATGTATATATTTGTGTATGTAAGTATGTTAGTATAATTATGTATTTATGTGTGTATGTATGTAAAATTATGAATATGAATGTATGTATGTTTGCCATTGTAAACCAAATTGCTCTTCTGGGGTCAATAAAAGTGCAATTTCTTTTTTTTTTTTTTTTTTGGACACAATAATGGTCTTTTTTTTTTCATTAGCAGAAAGCAAGACTGAAAGACTGAAACAACAACAGGAGTGTAAGGTGGCACAGTAGTCTCCGCCTAAGATCCCATCTCTCACGATCCTGGTTTGCTGAAGACCCCGCTGTTTTAAGAAAATAGAATTTTTACCATACAAAAGTCACCCCTAAGATCCTGCTCGGACTCACTCTGAAGGTCTACATTCGGCTTTGATCCCGCATTTCAGATCATAATTTACAGAACAAAAAATCCATGCCGGCACAGCAAATCAACCAAGAACGAAAAGTAGAGATCATTGAACTGCCCGTCGCGTCAAACATCACTCACAAATTCAAAACTAATGCAGTGTCCCAATTATATTCCACAAAAAAAACACCTAAACTGTTGCAGTCAACAGAGAATATTTTCATTAATTTGCAGAAAATTTACACACCAAGTGGCAAAATGATCAAAAAATGAATATTAACTCTTAACTTCATAGCAAGAACATATCTTTGGAAAGAGACAAAATTAGAGAACTGCATTCTCAAAAATGGAAGTGACATATGAACAGACATATGAACTCTCTACTCACTTTTTCAACCATGAAATCCATTGAATCAGCAATGTCTGGATCTGTTGGCTTTTTATCAAAGCTGCCCATCACCATTTTCTTCAGAAGCATTGCTGGCATCATCCAGAACCTTAAACAGAGAGTAAATGTATTTGCACTACAAAACCCTAACAAGTTATAATATGTACATCCATGACTTGTAAAACCCTATACAGAAAGAGATACTTTCTATATTGCCACACTAGTGTTTTCTACATGAACTGGCTGGGAGAGAAAAAAAATTAAATGTCCCCTGAAGACAGTACATATATCGAAAGGGACTCTAGGAGAATAAACTTTGACCTTTGCCTCTGGTAAATTAGTCGAGACGAAGCTGAATCAATAACAGGGTCCATCGACATAATGAAAGGCATGTACCAACTTAAACTTTATAGTGGACTCTTTCTTTGAACAGAATAGATTTCAAGAGGACGAGGATGTCTCATAGGTACAATTATTATTATGATTAAATAAAAGTGCTCCACACTTTTCCAATCCTAAAAGTGGTAAGCCTAGTTTACATCACTGATAGGTGTATTGAAATCAGCACACTGTAGTGACTTACACTCTTGACAGTTATCATTTAAAAGAATGTTTCAAGCACAAAAAAATAGTAATAGAAAATGAGGTCCAAGAAGATAGAGCACCTTGCTTTGTAATCCTGTTATCTTCAATTGAGAGTCCCATTAGACATTTACTCCTGTAGCTTAAAAAAACAACAACTTAGTCTTACACTTACAAGTATTGATATGACCACCACTAACATTTCATTGCACAATCACTTTATCATAGCATATATAAAGCAAGGGCCTAGGGCCATGTCTAAAAAAAAAAGGCCAAAGTACATCAGTATCACTGACTAAATGAACTACAAAGATTCACTTGACATTCTGACAAAATTGTTTACACCAGTAAGTTAGCCCACGGTAGAAACTTGAAGAACCAATAAGACATCAACTACCCAGTGCCAAATATCTCCTCTTTAAGCAGATACAAAATCCACTTGAGATTTGTCTGAAAACCCAAAAACTAGAACAGATCAATGAAGACAATAAGAAAACAACTTCACAATCGACAATGGAGATTTTTCTCATAGCTATAGTATAGAGAATGAAGATTCAATCCTCTGAGCCGTGGCCACCTGACCCCTGCTCTTTGGGTCCACTGTTAGATTTACATCACCATCACACACCCAGGCATTTTTCTGGTGCACAGAACGGAGGGGTAAAGGTATGCACTCACGTTCCTTTCTTTCTCATTCCTGTTCTCCGTTTCTCTATCTCTTTAACACTTCTATCTCTCTCCATTTCAAGTCTCTCTCTTCCACACACACTCACACTTGTACAAATACAACTATCTACCAATTCACATTAATATTCATCATGACGAATTAAACAATAAAAAAAACAAAAACACACACATGAGTAGATACTGATAGTAGTGATAGAGATGGACAACGCACATAACAAGACGAACGGAATTCCCTGATAAAGCAATTGAAAATCCAAAATCCCTAATTCAAACACTGTATCCTTCTCACAAGGATGGTACTCCTGACTTCACAACAGCTCCTTCACCTAACACATCCCCTCATGTTTATGTTCAAAACCATCCCCACCACCACAGGGACATACAACAGTGTAGCGTGTCATACGTACACAAACATCATTTATGCTTCCTCATTAGGTCAAAACCACGGACCTACACGCAGCTGGGAGGACTAGCAAGAACAGAAAACACACCCTCCAAATGACACGACATATTATTATCAAGAATTGTAAGATATCCCTCTCACAATCTTAAGATAAGAAAGACTAATGTTTCATTAAAACGAAGGCAATAACTCTTTTCTCTAGATAAGAGAAAGCATTCTTGCTTTTTAACCAGGGACTCATTGAGCAAGTCTGCCTCAACAAAAAGTCAATATGCCAGGGAAACAAAACAATGAGAAACGTTACAGATTTTAATAGAAAACAAAAATATGAAAATGATGTAATCAAGAGCATATGACACGCCCTGTGCTATATCTAAAACGCATGACATAAAAAAATGTGCGTGTTACTAGTTGAAAGGAAACACCTGTAAATCATGTTGCTTTCCTCATTTCCATTTTTTTTTTAAAAGCAAATATATTTTTCCCAGTTATGGTCTCAGTATATTATTCAAGTAATGAACTTAACTGCAGCATCCTTGTCTAGTGATTGAGGCATCAAATTAGCAACCATAAAATGAGTTGGACTCTGTTCTCAAAGGCAGGACATTGAATCCTTGGGGGAAGCAATTTTACCATTCTTCCCTCTCTTTGTCCAGTTGAAAATAGGTAGGCTACATGTACCGGAATATGTACATGAGTGACCATACAGTGTTTCCTGTCATTGTATTTGAGTTCACAATGACAACATTTACTTTTCATTTATTTCCTAGTCCTTTCCTCTAATTGCCCATCAAAAAACAACAAAGCAAGCGTGGCTTACGTGGGTGCTGAGTTTGTCTGTTGAAAGATGGTTGTATCATAAAAGGAATTGCACAAGATCAGGGAAGCCACTCGTTGCGATCGACAGCTGTACTCTGCAAACTTCTGGGCCAGGAAACCACCCAGTGAGGCTCCGAAGATATGAACCTGTTCAAATAGTTAATATGAAACTAAATCACGAGAACTGTAAAAATCTGACGTCATTTCTTTATATTTACTCTTGTCTCATTTGAGTTTGGAGTCACATTTCCCTATTCTTGAGCAGTAGTCATCACTTATATATATCAATATTATAAAACTATTACTTCATCTCTTTCACACAACATTCTCTTATTTGGGGCACAAAACTGACAACCTATTACTCATGGATCATCCTTTAAAATTGGTTTGGAAGGGCACGTAAAACATTTACAAGAATAATACTGGAGATGCAATGAAGCCTCTAAACACTAACAACTTCTTCTGTGACCTTTCTTCTTCTTACACACTTCATCTTCTTCTTTTAGAGCCAAATCCGAAACAGACATTGGTGGTCACGATTTGCCTCTCACTTCTCAGCTCAGATGCTCTCAGAGAAGGACAAGAAAGTTACATAGTAAAAAAAGACACAAACCTTGTCTAGAGACAAGTGGTCCAGCAATTTTCTGAAACCTTCCACAAATTCTTTCATTGTCCAGTATATTGGGTACTCAATCTGAAAAAAAAGAGATAACATCTAATGTGAAGATGACCAGTGTTTATAAGAATCTCTGTATGTATCTTCTTTGTTAGCAATGAACAGAACAGAAAATAAAATGACAGCTATATTCTGACTGCCATCATTGTGGCAAGTGCAGAATCTTGAGAGCAAATTAAATAACTCTTTTGAATAAACATATTGTAGAAAATGAATACTAAGAAAAGACAAACAACAAAAGTTAACTTATGTGCATGCATAAGACCAATGTCATGTCTTTATCATAAAATCGCCTATCTTTTCCCTGCGAGCCCAACACATCCCACTGAATTCATACTTAAATAGGATCTGCAAGGATACCCCACCTGACTGCACGTTGTGTGACTGCCAGGATGAAACAGTATCAAACCACCTCTTTACCTGCTCTGCACTTAGCGACCTGCGTAGTACCCACCTACCTGCCTCCCCAGATATCATAAATACTATATACAGTGACAAAACACTGCGGATAAAACCTGTAAATTCTTTGCCATATCGACAGGCTGAAGTAGGGCTAGAACACAGATGGCCGCTGGATCGGAAAAGTAAAGTACCCTTAAAACATTCAGAACACTCCGGAAAAGACATTCTAGCCTAGCCCTCACAGATGCTAGGCCACAGAGAACCATCAAGGCAGGAAAAAGGAAAAGAAAGCTAAAAAACAGTAGTGAAACAATTAACGTGAAATACTTACACCTATAACTCTGTAGCCAAGGGCAGAGAGTCCCAAAACCTGTCGGAAATAAACATCAGCCGACCCACTTGCTGGTGGAAAGCATATGAGAGGGCACTTGACTGTTTTGGGCCCTGCCTCGTACAGGGTCCATTCCTTACTGTTGTCATCATCCACAATTATCTGTGGAGTAAAAAAAAATCAAGTCTTCCCATACCAGTTTGTTGTCCATCACAAATCAACAAACACTGAAAAAGGATAATAAAAAACCATCACTTCAGTTTGTTTGTTTTAGTAGTTTTACGGCGCTTGCAACTGCATAAGGTCATATGAGCGCCAAGGGGTGGGTGTCAACAGAGAAGTCTTTACAGGGAATCAGACTTACTCTGCTCACCTCTCTAGCTTCAACAGCACAAGGTCTGCTTCGACTATCAAGGCACCCTCGAACATACAAAAGAAGGAAAATGACAATAGTAAGGATTGGGAAAGAAAAAGCAACAGTTCCAGTAGATCAGGCACAGTAATGAGCATGACATTGTTAGATCAGCCCATTTACAATTCTACTGTGCATGAACCTTTGGGAATGGCCTAAAGACACTTCAGTCAGTGGCACCGCCCCGGGGGGTATCACATCAGTTTGATTCATCTCACGTCAACAAATATAACAAATAAAATGCGTAGGCTTTTAGGACAAAAGAATTGTTACTGTAAAATGAAAGGGAAAAAGAAATGTAAAGTTAATTCATTCAGAAACCCCCCCCCCCCCCACAAATTTTAAGTAAACAACAAAATTTGACTGCAGTTTAAGGGCAAAACCACTTCCAGCTACACAAATTCAACCCCAAAAAATAAATTGTTTCCTTTTATCTTCACTCTATTTTTTCCATACATATGACCAAAAAAAAAATCAATATACATAAAGCTTAGCATTAGTCCTGGCAAATTTTCACTTACCTATAACATCAAATCTTATACTTATAGTCTTTTAATCCGTCAAGTTAAAGGTATAAATTTGAGAAATTACAACGGTCAGACAGCCAAAATATCACATGATCTCAACCTGCAGGGCACGTGCAGCTTTTACCCTGACATTATCTAATCTCTATTGACTTTTGAGTACTCATTTGCAGTTGGACAAACGGAAGAAAAAGTAAAATACCTTTCCAAGGTGAACAACTTCATATCAGGCACAGCCAGAACTCAAATCCCTGAATCTACCAAAGCAGGCCCAAAAATACAAGTTCAAGGTAAGAACACCCCCTTCCCCCCCAAAATACAACAAACAACAAAAAACACACAAAAATGGGTAATTTAAGTTTAGTTTTAGTCAGCACGGAAGTGAAGCACAGGTTCATCCCAAAGTCCAGTTTCTACGATTTTGTTCTAAATAACACCAAAAAAAAATGTTCTACTGCTGTACATCCTTATCATGCTTACGGGCACGAAAATAGGATATTGCGTCGCATATGGCTAAAGGGAAATAAATTTAAAGCTTAGCACATTTTCTTCTCTGAATAATATACAGTGGAACCTGAGTAAGACGGCCACCCATGGTCAAGGAGAAAAGTGGCCGTATAAGACAGGTGGCTGTCTTAGGCAGGACTGATCAAGATGAAGAAAACAAACCATTCCTTTCTGAGGTCCCAACCGAAGGTAGCCGCATTGTTGTTGTTGTTTTCGCTGGGTTTAATTTAATTTTTTAAAATTTTGTTGCTGCTTTTATGAAAGGGTGACAATAAAACGAAATGCGTCAGACAAGGAGGACCGAGTGCTATGGTAAAACAAACACATGGGTCATCACCACTCGGAGAACGAGCGAGGCTTCTGTCACAAGTTCATGTTGACGTCCATTGTTATATTGTTACTGACAGGGTAAACAGTGACCACTCCTCTCACTTACGATTTGTGTATGAGTTCTAGGTGTGGCTTATGGGTTATGAGCAAGACGTGCTGATAACACGTCTCGGTTATGAGGGATCACACGCTTCCCTCATCTGCAGCCGAAAATGTGTTACCTATTGGTCAACAGTGGGAAGGGCCTACTCAACATGATCGGTTGGAGGGAACTACCTAACAACAATGACAGGTGACTGGATTATGACGGCTCGCCCACAACCGTAACGTCAGGGGCCAATGTATGATTTATGACAAAACGTAAAGGAGTAATAATCTTGTTATCAAAACCAAGTACCAATCTCTCAGGCATTTGGAAGTCACATGTAATCTTTAAATGCATCTATGTCTCAAGAAAAACATAATGAGTTATCTAAACATCAGAGACATCTTAAAGAAGTTATGTTAGAAAATACCAAACTCATATTTTTCAGTTCTTGACTTGGCCTACAACAAAGGCTAATTAAAACCCATAAAGGAAAAACCCAGGGTGTGAATAGCAGACACTGTTCTGCTATGTATGTAAGTTTAGACAAAACAAGGTCACATTTTTTCTTTGAATACTGCCGATCTCAAGATACAAGGAAATATCTATTCTGACAGTAACAAATCACGAAGCCTTTCATGAGCCTCACGCTCATATAAGGCAGACGGGAATGTACAGTAGACAGGCACTGTACCATACCCCCCCCCCCCCACTTGACAATGTGAGGGGAAAAAAACAAGGTAATGTACTTTACCTTCCTCTGAGGAATAGAGCTCCTGAAACTCATGTACTCTTGAGACCTTGATATTTCACTCATTTTCTGACCTGTGTTATAAAAATAACAAAATGAAATGAATGAACCACATGACATGAAACTTTTGTATGTGTTTTAAAAAACTCAGCAACAAATAAGAAACGTAGATAGAAAGGACACAAATGGTATTCAGCAGACATTATGTCAACCTTTTACCTCTCATACTTTTATCACTACAATCTTTGAGGACATACATTTTTCAGATTATCATTAATGACACTATGGGATTTTCATAAAGGTACCTGATGTCTTAAAAAGCCGACCCAATTAAATGTCAATACCTCAGTCATCTTTGAACCAATTTTAACAAAACCTTGAAGAAATAAAATTCAACCAAGTGGATTATTAATATGAAGAATACCAATTTACATGTTCATTCATTTGTAAGCTTTTGGTTTACACGCCATTCACCAAACTTTTCTCGTACCCATGCAAGGACCTCTCTCTTGATGTGTAGGATATTACCCAACCCTGCAGAAACTTGGTCTTCTCAACAGCATTAAAGTTTTTAACCCCCTCTCTTCCTCAAACTTCTCCAAAACTTTGTAAGTATGATGAAATATCCATCTGATGTGGCGGTCGCGGTTTTACCGTCTTTGTCAAGAAACCAGAAAACCGTAGCCAATGAACACTCCTGAAGCTGAATGCTTTTTAAGATAGGGTTAATATTTTACTCAATTTTGGTTGAAATATTTTCAACCAGGTGTTTATTGGACATGTGTGCATCATTGATTTCCTTCCCATTGACAACTTTGATGGTGATTTTCATCAAGAGAGAAGAAAAAGGGGTAAGTAAGTGTAGGAGTGTGGACAAGCTGACATCAAATTCTTCACACAGTGCGCACTTAAAACATGAAAAACCACGTGAGCATTGCCAAAAAAGCTTGGATAATTGCTCAGGGGTTTACGGTTTGTTCAGACATCTATTCCGGATGGGCTAAAAACAACGCATCAGGATTTAAGAAGACTCATATATATACCAACTGAGAATAAACAAAAGCGGTTACCAAGACACCAATAACTAAGAATAGAGAGGTGCCCCTTGAATTTTTCCAAAAAAAACTTGGTCAACATAAAAGAACCTTTTTTTCCTCCTGAAAACCATGATCTAAGGCGGTGACTAATTATGAAAAAAAGAAAACAGTCTTAGATTTGGACACAAATCGCATAAACCTGCTCGCAGATATTACCAAATGAGAAAAGTGGAGAAATCAGATCGTAAACTCCCTATATCAGCATACATCTCTATCAGATACTATCAGACATTGAATCTTAGCTTTCACACAATTTGGCCAGATACCATTGTTGAAGAGTTGAATTCACAAGTCTGTAACTCAGTTCATAGAGAGAAATCGTGAGTCGTAATACAGTCAAACCTGTGTAAGACGGCCACCCATTGTCAAGGAGAAAAGTGGCCGTATAAGACAGGTGGCCGTATAAGACAGGTGGCCGTCTTAGGCAGGACTGATCAAGATGAAGAAAACAAACCATTCCCATCATTCTGAGGTCCCAATCGAAAGTGGCCGCATTGTTGTTGATTTTGTTGTTGTTGTTGTTGTCGGTTTGTATTTTATTTGTAATTTTTATTTTGTTGCTGATTTGCGCAAAGGTGACAATAAAACTAAATGTATCAGACGAGGAAGACTGAGTACCATGTTAAAACAAACACATGGGTCGCCACCACTCGGAAAACGAATGACCTTTCTGTCACAAGTTCATATTGTTACTTTGTTACAGTCTGGGTAAACAGTGACCAGCCATCTCACTTACGATTTGTGTATGAGTTCTGGGCGGGGCTTATGGGGTATGAGGGATCATACGATTACCTCACCAGCAGCTGAAAATTGATATGGCCAACAGTGGGAGGGGCCTACGCGACATGATCGGTTGGAGGGACTACCCAACAACAACGACAGGTGCCAAAGCACAAT